GCGCCTGCGCGAGGGGGCCTGCCCGGCGCGCAGCGGGGCGTGGGTCGGCGCCCTCTGCTGGATCTTGGAGGGAATGCAGGGGGGTGTGTCTGCGCTCACGCCCTGCCCCCACTAGCTGGCCTTGGCGAAGGCTTCCGAAGGTCTTTCCAGAGAGCCACCAGCTCACTAAAACCAACTTCCCAACCTTCTCTAGGCGAGTCTCCCCTGCTAGGGTGGAGGCTAGGCCTAGACTCCTCCGTGGCAAAAGCATGCCTGTATTTATTCCTTCACAAACATATCCTGGGGGCTGAAATTACCAGGGTCCCTGCTCTGGAGTCCACTTCTAAAGACCTCTATTTCTGTCAAGTTCTCAGTCGGGATTGGGGCAAATAGATTCTCGCAAAGAACACACTGATAAAACGAAAATGTAGTGTACAAGGTCCACAGGAAACAGGAAAGAAGGGTGCACGGTTGACTTCATAGAGCTGGGGGAGCAGCGTGCACAAAGGCAGGGAGCAGTGAGAGCTCCCGGTGGCTTCTGGGGACTATAAATAGTTCGGCAGGCAGGCTGCGGGTGACACTGTGGGTAGGGGAGAGCGGTGGGAGATGGGTTCCTGCAAGCTACTGGGGCGAAAGATCCAAAGAGCCTCTCACTGGACTTTCTTGAACTTTACTTTTGGCTTGGAAACCGTAAGGAAGTTGTTAATGGCTATGTCACATTGGATAAGTTACCTAACCTCTGTCTGTCCTGTTGCATTGTTGTTTAAAAAGATGAGCAAAAATAATGCCACCAACTTTGTAAGGTTTTGTGGAGAGGAAATGAGTTAATAGCTTTAAAGTGCTTGGTACACAGCGGCACGTGGTGAGTCCTCAATTAAACCCGGACTGTTATTATACACCATTGTTAATGAGGATTCAGGATCCTCCCTGAGCAATTTGCTCTTAGCTACAAGAGCAGGCAGTGCTCAGGCACGAGAGGGGCACAGGACAGAAGTAGAGCAACAGAGAGAGAAACCAGAAGCTCCGCTGGGGGCTCTAGGTGTTAGCATTGTCCCAGGACCAGTACTGAAGAGCAGCCAGTTGGGGGGGTGGGTCGATTCTTCAGGTGGAAGAAGTGAGGCCACTGGCACAGAGTTGGAAGGTTATACAAAGTAAAAACGAAGGGGCAGTCAGGCAGGGCTACACAGAGAAACCCTGTCTCAAAACAAACAAACAACAACAACAAAAAAGGACAGTAGAGAGTCCTGTAAAAGACAGAGTTGAAGACTGCACCTAACTTCAGGTGAAAGGAGCAGGAGCTGGGTATGCTCAACCCCCACCTCCCCTCCCGGAGACTACAGATTAGCCCTCTGACCCAGCACGCCCAGTACCAGTTTGCTTGCAAGGAACCAGTTCTCTAGGGATACTCACAGAGGAGGCATCCAGCAGATCTCAGAGCTAGGTGTGACATAGTGGAAAAAAAGCCCAACCCAGGAATTTGGGGACCAAATCTCGGTTAGATCTCAATTTAAGAGCTGTGTGGCTGCGTGACTTTGAACTAGTTACTTAAGGTCTCTGAGCCGTTTCCTCTTCTGTAAGATCAGGCTGAGAGCATACCTCTTTTGTGAGAGATGGTGTGGATTCAGCAAGATAACAAGCCTGGAGGGATGGTGCATGCATGCGTGCATGTGTGCATGCATGCGTGTATGTGTGTGTGTGTGTGTATATGCACGTACGTGCTTGTGTGTTTGTGTATGCACACACGTGCTTGTGTGTTTGTATATGCACGCACGTGCATGTGTGTCTGTGTGTGTGTGTGTGTGTGTGAGCACGCGCGCACATGACTTTGCTTTCTTTCCTTTGAGGTTAAGATGGAATGATAATATGGCCCCAATTCGGGGGTGGGGGTGCTGCTCAGCTTGAGGGGAAGGCTTTAGCAGCTTTCAAAAGCCTTCTGGAAGGGGGAGTTTGAGAGATTGATACCTCCTCTGTCTGAATTAGTTGGTAAAAGAGGGGGTAGGTGGTGGGGAGGCTGTGGGGACTTGCGGGAAAGCCCTGAATTAATATCTAAATCTTTGCTCCAGTTTTACCACCAATATATCTTCCTTTACCCATAAACCCTCTCAGCTGTCTCCCTAAGTGAGCTGGGACCCAGAATGTGAACTTTGGAATCAAATAAGCCTGTATTTGAGTCCTGGCTCCACCTCTTCTCAGTAAAGTGAAGAGGGGGAAAAAAGTTAACCTTCCTGAATTCCAGGCTTTGGGAATTAAAGCCTGAATTGGATACTGCAAGAAAGAGCTAACATCCAGTTCATCATTCATGCCCTCGCTTCCTCTCAACAAATATGGAACAACTGCTAGCCGTGATCTTCATGCTGGAGATGAGTCGGGGGGAGGGAGTGTGTGGGGGGGAAGAACACCATGATTCTTGTCCAAAACAGAAAAGGAAGAAAGAAAAAAACTAGTCTGATCAGCCACAGTGTTTGGAGACCATGTGCACCCAATGGACAGAACCAAAAGCCATGAAGAGGAGGATGGAACTGGGGGAAAGGAGCGGCCGTGCAGTGAGATGCTCAGCAGGAAAAGAGCCCTGGCTCCCCAAAATCGGGACTTTGATTCCTGGATCCCACGACAGGAGAGAACAGACTCCTCTGACCTCCACAGGCACATTGTGGTATGGGTGAACCATGTGAGTGTATGTGTGTGTGTGTGTGTGTGTATTTAAAAAGGCCAGTAAAGGGGGTAGTGCATCATTCATTAATTAAGGTTCAGGTTGTAGCTCACTTGGTAGAGTGCTTGCCGAGCATTCATAAAGCCTTGAGTTCCATCCCCAGACAGCATGAAGTGGACATGGTGACCCATATTTGGAATCCCCAAAATGGGATGTTCAGGCAGGAGGATAAGAAATTCAAGGTCATGCATGACCTCAGAGGAAGTTCATGGCCATTTTGGGCTCCATGAGATGCTACCTCAAAACAAAACAAAAACCATAACAAAACCACAAAACTCAGCCAAGAGTGTGTTGTTGCATGGTCCACATGGTGAAGAGGGCCATAGGTCCTGGCAAAGCTAGCAGGTGGAGGGGAGTAGACAGGCAATGTCTAGGGTCTGCTGTCCACGAGGAGAGTTTATGAAGAGCCTCATGACCCTCTGGTGTAGCCCAGCTCCTGAGAGAGGGTGAACTCATCGAGCGGGGTTGGGGGCTGCCAGGAAGCACTCAAGTGCACAACTTTAGTTAAACTGAGTCTGAGTGCCTGTAATATACAGATATATCAAGTCGGCACTTAAGATTAGTGTGCCCAGACTGGACCATTTGTTCTCCGGTGTTGAGGCTAGCTCCAGGAGAGTGGAGAAAAAAAAGAAAGTCTGGAGAAGGGGAAGAAAAGGGCGATGGAGCCAAAGACTTCTGGCAGCTTTTGGGGGAAGGGACCAGATGGCCCAGCTGCATGCAGAGCTGGTTGGGGGGAGGGTTGGGTGGTCCAGAGCTTATAGCACTTTTATTGGAGTGTGTTCCCATGGTTGCCTGGCAGGGAAGGGCCTTTGCTCCTCTCTGTCTCTTCCCCTCCCCCAGCTTTTATGCTCAGAGATGATAGTTTAGAGGAGCTGGTGTGAAGTAGCTTGAAACTCAGCCACTCTGGGCGTCCCCCAGGGCAGAAAACAGGAAGCCAAGATTAAAGACAGATTTCCAGCCAAGTCTCCTACTTCCTGCAGGGCAGGTGCCCCTTGCAGAGTGCACAGGAGCTAGACTATAAGCTGAGCGCAGAGCAGAGCAGAGGGCCTGGGCTGACTTCCCTAGAGGTGGGAGCCACAGGCACCTGCCTAGGTTGTGGTTGCCTCTCCAGCTTTGTTCCAAGGCCTTCACCTCTTCATCTCCCTCAGCAAGGCCTTGTGGGGATAAACCTCACGCACGCCTAATGAGGATGGAGACAGGACACAGTAGCTGGAGCTCCTGGAAGGTAGGGGGACCGAGAAGGAAGAACATGGGCTCCAGGGTCACTCAGACCCCCTGCGTGAACCCTGCTGCGGGGCTCCACTAAGTTAGAAAGGATGGATGAAAGGAAAGACATAGTGGAGCAAAGATGGACGGCAAGGCGGTCACAAGGACCAGGCCAGTGCTCCAGGCCCCTAGTATGTAGGAAAGGACAGAAACCAGGAGAAAGCAAGTGGCCACAGTGGCTTCTGTCGTCATGGCAATGCCTGGGTTGGCGTGGCTGATGTTCACAGACGCCAGAGGAGCCAGGACCCAGAGGCCTAAGGTGGGGGCTTCTGCCCTCCAGGTGACCCTCCCCCACTGTGCCACAGAATACCCCAGCTCCTACTTTCCAATACTGCCAGTGGGAGGAAGGGCCCATGCCTGAATCCAGAGATGTCACACTGTTAACCTCCTTCTTGAGACTGGAAGTTCATCATGAGTATCAAATGACCTAGGAGATCCAGGTTCTGGGGATGGCCTTGCTTTTGACTTTCAGTTAGTCTTTCTACTCTGGGCCTCAGTTTCCCCACCTGCATATCTAAGCATTAGATTTGGTGATCTGTCGGCAATCACAAGTGGAGGGTTCTGCAGATGGGCATGGGAGCTACAAGTTACCTCCAGCTCCTGTCCCCTGGAGACCTAGGGACCTCTTCTTTTATTCACTCCACATCACTGCCAGGCACCTTATCATTGATGATGATATTTGTTTATGGACTTAATTTACTTTTGAGACAGAATCTTACCTGTCTCAAACTGGCCTTGAACTCCCTCTTTATTACTGGGCATGGCCTTGAACTTCTGATCCTCCTACCCTACCACCCAAGGGTCTGGATTACAGGTACGGGTCACTATACCCAGTTTATGTTGTCTGGGGATCAAACCCAGGGCTTCGTGCATACTAGGCAAGTACTGTGCTGACTGAGCCACCCCCAGCCCAGCAGTTAGTTCTGTTTTTACAGTGAATCTCCTGATATAGTGTTATTACTAGCCCTGTTTTGCAGAAAAGGAAACCAAAGAGAGATTAACTCAGTTGGTCATCAGATCTCTGATAGGGAGGAAGGGCCGGGGTGATGTCTTGAAGCTCTGTTTTAGCAGCTTCCTTGTTTGAGGGCTGACTTTCCCCTGCCCAGCTATGTGACCTTTCAGTTGAAGTTTCTGCAATACAGGGGCTGGAACCCAGGCTCTTTTGCATGCGAGTCATGTGATCCACTTCTGAGTCGTACTCCCAGGCCAACGCTGAGGCTTCAAAAAATTACTACATTTATTTTTTTGGTGGGGGATGGGAGGCATATGAGTGAATACTTCCTGAGAGTTGGTTCTCTCCTTCTACCATGTGGGTTCCACGGATAGAATCCAAGCACTAAGACTTGGCAGCAAGCACCTTTGCCCTCTGAGCCCTCTCAGGGAGCCAACCCTGAGCCTTTCTCATCCTCAGGAGCCTATTTCAACGAGAGCAGCGGCAGCATTGAGGGGGACTTGGGCTGAGCACTCTGGCCGAGTGTGACTTAGTTCAAAGCTCTGGCACTCATTGGCAGTTAAATGGTTTTTTTTCCCCCCTCTCGCTTCTGGAACAGCTTTGTAGTTAGCTCTCGCCGCCTGCAGTCCTCTCAGGGATCTGATGGCCTCTTGCATGGTGGGGCCGGAGCTTTTGTTGTTGAACCCACAGCGCCACAAAAGCTGAGGAACTGGAAAACCTTATTCATCCATCCACTCTCCAAATACTCAGACGGTTGCTACACTCTCCAAGACACTGAATGGCTGCTACTAGGCGGGGCTAGTGCACCCCTGTTTCTCCCTCCCAAAGCCACTTGCCGGTCGGTACTCACCCCTTCATGCTGTCCCGAGGCCCCAGCGATGGGATGTTCTTTTTTTGAAGGACTCACCCTACTCAGAAATCCCCGGGCTCCGCCTGCTGATTGGAAGCCTCTCTGCTGCTGCCCTTGCTTGCTCAGGGGACTTCTTGGGTGAATAGGGGGAAGGTAAGCAGAGGCCCTGGGGTGCTAGGCTGAAGGAAGGCTAGCTATCTATCAGGGTGGGGTAGGCAGGGTGCCTGAGGGGAGGAGCAGGGGCTTGCTTCAAGCCCAGCTTTTGCAAATCACATGCAAAGTTCAGGAGGTCTACCTGCTAGACCCGGTGTGACAACACGTGACAAAACATCTGTCCTTGTCTGGTCAAGGATGGGGTGGAGCTGTCAGAAGGGAAACTCCACAAAAGCCAGGCTGTGGATGTTTCCTGGGAGTGGGAGTTGAGGTCTAGAGGGACCTGTGTGTCATTCCTGCCACAGGTCTTAGGACCCCCCTCCCCCCATCAATCGAGGGAAGAGTTCCATGTCTGCCTTCCTTCCTTTTGTCAATCTTCTTGAACCCTAACTAACCTCATGCCTTCCGGAAGCTCCCTCCTGTCGTGCAGATAACCTAACCTGAGACTTTCCACCCTGATCCCTAGGGCCATGTTTGGCTCCCTGGGCCTGAGCTCCCAGCTGTTAGCAGCTGGTCATCTGTTGTTGCTCATATATAGCTCCGCTCCACCAGAGGGCCAGTGAACTCTGAGGGGTACCCTCAAAGAGAAGGCAAACTTGCCTGTCAGGAGAAGGGACTGCCGAGGGCTGCAGGGTCGGGGTCTTCCCCTGTGCCCGAGTGAAGGACTGAAGGAAAGATGGATATCTGAATGACTGAAGCACAGCCTGGGAGGAGCTGGTGGTCCCCCATGTTGGTGCTTCACGGCAGCCAGTATGAGGACACGGAAAGAAGGGAAACTGAGCCACAGGTACCAAGGATTTGGAGATTATTCCCCCTGGCAGCTGAAGTTGAGAGGCCAGGGGCCACATCCTGTTCAAACTGCACTGGAGGCCTCATCTGTGGTGCCTACCACCTCTGCAGCGTAGTTCTGTCTGCGGCTGCTTTTATGAGCAGTGGATTTATGTGTTCTCTGCTGATGTTAGCAGAGGTGACTTTCTGTTGTCACTTAGAACCTGGCCGCTATCCCCTACGCTATCCCCTACGCAGCCCACCCCCACGGGGTGAGGTTGTAGGAGACGTGGCGACATCTTTGGTGACAAGTGACAGGTTCTCTTTCTCCTCCTGTTCGTGGTACTGGGAATAGAGCCTGGGCCCTCACACATAACAAGCAAGGGCTCTGCTATTTAGCTACATCTCCACCCTTCTTTGAACTTTTATTTTAATTTATTATTTTATTGTATGTACACAGGTATTCTGCCTGCACGCATGTCTTCCCACCACCTGTATGACTAGCGCCCTTGGAGGCCAGAAGAGGACATCAGATCTCCTGGAATTGGAGTAATGGTTGTGAGCTGCCATGTGGGTGCAGGGAATTGAACCCAGGTCTTCTAGAAGAGTGGCTAGTGTTCTTAACCATTGAGCCATCTCTCTAGACCCTGAACTTTCATTTTGAAAGTATCTCACTAACTTTCCCAGACAGGCCTTGAACTCATTCTGTAACCCAGGCAGGCCTCGAACTTTGAATTCTTCTGTTTCAGACTCCTGAGTGACCGGGTCCTGATCGACACCAGGCTTCCCTTAGATTTGTTGTTGTATTGAGACAAGGTTTCTCTGTGTAGCCCTGGCAGTCCTGGAACTTTCTATGTAGACCAGGCTGACCTTGAGCACAGAGATCTACCTGCCTCTGCCTCCCAAGTGCTGGCAACAAAGAGGCGTGTGCCAGCTCACCCATCTTCTTCATAGATTTTTTTTTTTTTAAATACACCTGCCTGCAATCCAGCACTAGGGAGGCAGAAGTGGGAGGAGTAGGATTCAAAGTCTTTCTCGGCTCCATTTAGTGAGTATGAGACCAGCCTGGACTGCAAGAGACTATCATAAACAACAAACGAACTAAACTAAAAGCAAATCAACCCCACACAAATCCAACAACTAGTAAAAATGATTATATCAGCAGAGTTAATGATAATATTACTGGCGTTTTGAGACATTCTCACTCTGTAGCCCCAGGCAGCATAGAGGTTTGCCGTGGCTAACAAACTTGTGGCCGTCCTCCCAAATGATGGCGTTATTTTTCAAGGGGAAATGCTAGAGCCACAGCTGTGGACGATAAATACCAGTGTCCACTTTTTGCGAGCCGCCGTTACTTTTCTCCTGACTTTTGTTAGACTCGGGTTTGGTCTCTGAGGGCACAAAGCGCTACTCTCGTCATATATGAGAGGCAACAGCGCCCTCTGGTGCCCAAAGCCCAGACTCACAAAGGGAAGGACAGGAGCCGGAGCCCCAGGAAAGTCAAAGTCACATGACTCTACTCCAGGGCGCTACCCCAAGGGCTAGTCTGACTCCGCACACCTGTTCAGGAAAGTTAGGGTGTTAGGAGCCTGGAAAGACGCTGTCGCAGAGTCAAGAGCATCAGGGCCTGTACTGACCGGAGCAAATCTAGATGAATGAGGGCAGAGTGCAGCTGGAGCAGAAAGGGGATAAGGCCATTTCCAGAAAGTTCGGCTGCACTAATCATACCTCCACAGAATGGAGGGAACGCACATTTCCATAAACCATATGCCTGGCCATAGGAGGGCATTTTTAGCGCGGTGTTTTGGAGCGGGACAGCCAGTGAGCACATAGGTAGCAGGAGACCCTGAATTCCCTTCCTTGGCCTGCTCCCTGACCCAAAGGCAACCGCCATAGTGGCCCCTGCCAGCCGCGTTACTGATAATCCCAGATTTTTCTGAATGAGGACGGGTGAAGAGGGCGTTCCGGATGTATTACGTCTCATTTCATTGGCATTCTTCAAGTGAGAAGATAGCATCTCGGAGGGAATGGGAGGAGGGGAAGGAGCGGGAACTTGGATTGTGTATATAGTAAATAATTTTTTTGTTTTTGATTTATTTATTATGTATACAGTGTTCTGCCTGCATGCCAGAAGAGGGCACCATATCTCATTACAGATGGTTTTGAGCCACCATGTAGTTGCTGGGAATTGAACTCAAGACCTTTGGAAGAGCAGCCCTTAACCCCTGAGACATCTCTCCAGCCCAATATTTTTTTTTTAAATAAAAAAATTAAAAGAAGGGGACTGGAGAGATGGCTCAGTGGTTAAGAGCATTGCCTGCTCTTCCAAAGGTCCTGAGTTCAATTCCCAGCAACCACATGGTGGCTCACAACCATCTGAAATGAGGTCTGGTGCCCTCTTCTGGCCTGTAGGCACACATGTAGACAGAATATTGTATACATAATAAATAAATAAATATTTGAAAAAAATAAAAAAAAAAATTAAAAGAAGAAGGTAGCATCTAGATCGTCTTTGTATAATGAGGTTGATGTACAGAATTGCTCAAACCCTGACCTCTTTCTCCTGCCCCAGGACGAGCGTCTGATAGCAGCTGCAGAAGCCAGAGCCACCGTTTGCTGGATCCGCTTGGTAGAGAAAGGCTGTGAGCTGGAGGAGAGGGGTGGCTGCCCATTCATCATAAGGTAGCCATCGGTGCCGGCAGCCTGCTGGAAAGTGTGGTCCTGGGCCAACAGGTGAGAAACGGCAGAGAGGTACCAAGGGTGGGTTAAAAGGAGACAGGCTTTGTAATCTGCTCTAAGCATGCTTTTTAAGGTCTGGTCGGGGCATTGGTGCCAGACTTGGGTGTCTTTTACTCTCAGGGAATTCTTCAGGAGCAGCTCAAGCTAGCCTAGGATCAGCTCTGTGGGCATTAAAACAGACAGACAGACAGACAGACAGACAGGCCAAAAACACAGGACTGGAGAGATGACTCGCTGGTTAAGAGAAATCGGCTGAGGACCCCAGTTCAGTTCCTACCACTCTCATCAGGAGACTTGCGAATATCTGTAGCTCCAGTTCCTGGGGTTCCTACACTCCTGGCTTCCACGGTAGACACTGCACTTGGGTGTGTGCATTCCTGCCTGTAGAAACACTCACATACACACGGTTAAAAATAATGAAAGTAAATCTTGAAAAAAAATGTAAAAACCTACCTCTTACCTCAAGGTGGATAAGAGATCGTGTCTTCTGGCCTGGGAACGCAGACTTAGGTTCCCTCAGGGTCCATGTTTCAATGTGGCAGGAAGTTCTATGAAGTTTTTCTGTAGTAACAGAACTAGGTAAGGCATGGGCAAACGCACTTTTCATGTAGTGGGTAGATACATAACGTGGACGGTTACGGCGAATTGAGACCTCTCTGCTGTAGGTCGGTGAAAGGTGGGGATCTGTTCATACATTCCCAAAGAACCCACCTCGTCGTGATGTTAGATCACACCTGGAGGTGGACAGCAAATGACTGTTCAAAGGGAAGGCTCAAGATGGCCAAGATAAAGTGCAGCTGTGATTTGGGCATGCAACATTCCAACCAAATGCTGAAATTTGAATCAGCTCAGCTTTTGCAGGTGCAGCTTCTCTCCAAGGGTTTTGTTCACGCTGTCAACTCTGAAGATGACCCGGATGCCATCGTAGCCCAAGACTTGCCGCTCTGCACCTCTGGATCCACCTTCTCAGTGAGCAGAAGCAACATGTGCAAGGGTTCAGTGGGAGCAAACAGCAGGAGAGCCAGCCCGGGGCAGGCGCCTGCACAAGGTATTTGCCTCTAGAGGCGACTGGACGCTAATTTGGAATTTAATTCCCCTGAATATACTCTCTCTGAAAGGATATGTGAGTGTGTGATGTGGGATTCCCCTCGGTATGCTATGAATATGTTTTTATTACCATTGGTTATTAAGAAAGCTGTGTCGGCCAATGGCTTAGTAGAGTAAAGCCAGGCAGGAAAGCCAAACAGAGATATAGAGAGAAAGTGGGCGGAGTCAGGGAGCCTCCTTGTCGCTGCCAAAGGGGGAAGATGCCAGCTGCCAGCCAGAACCTTACCAGTAGGCCACAGCTTCGTGGTGATTTACAGATTAATAGAAATGGGTTAATTTAAGAGGTAAGAGTTAGCTCGAAATATGCATAAGCCATTGGCCAAACAGTGTTGTAATTAATATAATTTCTGTGTTATTATTTGAGTCTGGGCAGCCAGGAAATGAACGAGCAGTCTCTGCCTACAAGTGTGTGTGTGGCCTCACAGAACTGGTCACCCCTGTCTCTGCACCCTTGCACACCTGTAATATTACTCATTGCTCACCTGTCATTGTAGGTAAGCAAACAGCACGTGTATCCCAAGTCAAGAATGGGTGTGCATCAATGTTTCCAACAGCCCCAGCACCGGAAAGATGATGGGCCAGGAGTGGGGTACACATCTATAGTCTCAGAACTTGACAGGTTGATGCAGAGGGATCGATAGTTGGAGGTCAGCCTGTATTACATATAGTGTAACCTTGTCTCAGTAAAGCAACCAAGTGGGGTGTGGTGGTGCAGACCTTTAGCCTCAGCATGCTGAAGGCAGAAGCAGGAGAATTTCTGTGAGTTTGAGGCCAGCATGGTCTACATATTTAGTTCCAGGACATCCAGGGCTATACAGAGAGATCCTGTCTCAAAGAGAGAAAGAAAAAGAAAGGGAGAAACCAAACTAAACAGTCAAAAATGACAAACAAGCAGTAACGGTGGGGACCAGGGAAGGTGGCTCGGGGGGAAAGAGTGATGGCTGAGCAGACGTGAGGACTGAGTTCAGCACCCCAGCATTGCAATCACTGTGATCCCAGCACTCCTGCAAAGATGGGTAGTGGGGACCAGAGAATCCTTGGAAGCTCATGGGCCACTAGCCTGGCTCATGGGATGCAGAGAAAACAATAAGGAGACCCTGTCTCAAACAAGGTGGGTGTCTAGGTCTGATGCTCACGGCTGTCTTCTTATCTCTGCATCCGTATCTTACGCACATAAAACCACCGGTGGCTCAGCCCTGAAGGTAGTCCTCAGAGGCATGAGAAGAGACATGGCAGAAGGAGCTGGACAAGGAACAACTTTCCTCCCTCCTCCCTCTGCTTCTTCTCCTCCTTATTCTCATTCTTTTTTGTTGACTTAGTAAGGTTTATTTATTTTATTTATGTGTATGAGTATTTTGCTTGCTTGTATGCCTATCGTGTGTATGTGTGGTATCTGTGGAGGCCAGGAGAGGGCGTCAGCTCCTCTGGAACTTGAGTACCAGTCGTGAGGCACTATGGGGGTGCTGAGGATAGGACTCTGGAAGAACAAGCCAAGGCTCTTAACCCCTGAGCCACCTCTCCAGCCCCATATTCTCATTTTTCATTGTGTTATTCTTGTTCTTCCTCTGTGGCTTTTTAACCCTTCCCCCCACTGGGTGTTTTCTTGGGTCTTGGGAAATGTTAATGTGTATGGGTTTTTTCCTGGTTAGTGTGTTGGGGTTGGAGTGAGAGGGGATATGAATAGGGCTTGGAGGAGGGGAAGGTGCAGTTCAGGACATCCCGGTCAGCAGTCAGAAAGGCCCTGAGGACTCTGGTCCTCCACGTTCCTGGGGCTGATGATGGTTTGTGTAGCTAAGTTATGTAGTTAGTTGGTTCCAAGCTTTACCCTGAGATGCTCAGTGTCAAACCCAGGCCAACCTGAAACTTATTCTGTGACCCGGCCTGGTTTCTAGCTCAGAAACCCGAGTCCTCCTGACTCAGCCTCTCAAGTGTTAGGATTTCAGGTGTGTGTCACCACACCTGGCTGGACAAAGAATTTCAGTTTCAGGTGGGTCTGAAAAAACAGTCCAAGAAACGATGCAGATAAAGGTGGGGTTGGGCCCATGTTATGGCCATCATTAGTAATTTCTCTAGAATTTATGGGGCGGAAAGACTTGAGATTTCCCTTGAAGCTGTATTTGTAACACAAACCACTTTCCGCCTGATTGCCTCGTTTGGGTGGGTTCTGTGGGTCAACCGCTAAGGGAAACAGTTTTCCCAGACGACCACAAGGGGGCGGCGCAGACCACACTCTCAGTGCTACAGTCCAGACCAGTGGAAGCTAAGGGCAGAGCTTGGCCAGGAAAGGCAGGACCCGGCAAGAAAGGGGAATAATAAACCAGCAGTTTAGCTGGGTGTTGTGGTGCACATCTTTAATCCTAGCACTTGGGAAGCAGAGACAGGCAGATCTCTATGAGTTCAAGGCCAGCCTGCTCTATATATGGAGTTCCAGGCCAGCTACAGCTACATAGTGAGTCCCTGTCTCCAAAAACAAAAGGAAAACAGCAGCTAGGGAAGAGTGAAGATGGAGGGTTTTCTTTCTGCCCACAGATCACGATCTTGATTCTATTTGCTTGTTTATAGACAGGGTCTCACTGTGTAGTCCGTGGCTGACCTAGAATTGAGACTGCCAGACAATCTCTGCCTCCTGAGCCGAGTGCTGGGACTGAAGGTGTGAGCCATCATGCCTGGATGAAGTCCCTCAACCTCCATGGGGAGACAGAGGCAGGATCCCACCTCAGGGCTTTTTCTACCAATTCTTCTTTGCCCAAATCGTCCGTGCCTGGTGTACCATACTTCAGTGTTAACCCATTTGGTGGAGTGAGATGATGTCTCTCTGATGATGTATGCCCAGGGGCTGCCCAGGACAGACCAAGACAGAACTGGCTCCATGTGCCTCTTACCAGCTGTCAGTCATGAGTGGCAAGTGAAGGAGTAAGGTCTCAATGTCCAATTCTTCCTACCTTGGCTCTGGCCAGAGTGGAGACCTAGGTCGCCTGGTTAAAGATTGGCCAGGTGTGCGTGAGAAGCTCAGGCCAACTCCAGTCCATGTGTGGTCAGATTGATCCTTGACCATTGGATGACAATCAATAGGTCAGTCCTGAAACTTCACAGGAAGCTGAACCTTGCTGACCTTGGGTTGGAGAAGTATGGCAATATCCGTCATTGCCTCTGAGGGTTTGCACGTGCTGCTATGGTACCCAGTGCATCAGTCCGTGCTCTCCAGAGGAACAGCAGTGCTAGAATGAATACATATCATGAAATGTGGTTGACTTAGACAACAAGGACTAAGTAGACACCAGCAAGAAGCGAAGGTGCAGCCGGATGTGGTGGTGGTGGTACACACCTTTAATCCCAGCACTGGGGAGGGAGAGGCAAGAGGATCTCTGTGAGTTTAAGGCCAGCCTGGACTATAGAGTGAGGCCCTGTCTCAAAATCAACCAACCAACCAGTTCCACAAAGTCAAAACCCAAACAAACAAAAGAAGTGAAGTCAACAGGAAAAACAGTGGCTTCTTTTGTTTTGTGGCAGGTGTTTTGGCTGCACGCATGTCTGTGCATCACACGCTTGCCTAGTGCTCCAAGAAGTCAGAGGATCTCTTGGAGCTGGAGTTACAGTTGTTAGCCATCACGTGGGTGCTGGGCATCAAAAGAGCAGCCAGTGCTCTTAATTGCGGAGTCATCTCTCCAGCACCGCCCCCACAGGCCTCTCCACCAGCAGCCTTCTGCCAGGTGCTGCCTATCCACTCCGGGGCCATGCACAGATGCGTTTCTTAGTTGTTTCCAGATCCAATCAAGTTACTCAAGATTAACCACCAAAGGTGCCCCCCCCTGCACAACAGTGGTTAAGGCCCAACCACTTTCTGATTGAATTTGAAGCCTGCTGATAGCTCATAGCTGGCGAGCTCCTAGGCTCTGATGGGATCACTGCTACTGTGGTTTTGCTGAATGGATGTGTAGTCAAACTGCCTTCTACATGTTTGTATTTATGTCCATGGATTAGAGCTCTCCCCACTTTGATGAGAAAAGCTTCTTTTACAGTGGGCAGCAGTCAGTACCAAGACTTAGAACTGGTCAAAGGGTGAAGAGTAAGTGACTGTTAAACGCTCAGCCCCAAATGTATCATTTGATGTGAGGTTGTATACATGTAAGACTGGTTCATCTGCGTCAACCGTTTGAAGGCTTGGAGAAGAGGAGGTGGAACGTCTGTGAGAGCTGAGGCCGTGATTGGGCGCTGCTCCCAGCAGCTCTGATCGCCTGACCAGACCAGGCCAGTCAATGCTCAGTCATAAATGGGAGAGGGGATCATGAGGCCCCATCCTTTTCTGATGTTGACAGTCAATGGTTCCTGGAGGAGGCAGAGACATTTTCCCTAGCGGTGTAGCCACTTGTAAGTTTTCCAAGCTCATGGAAGAAACCCTAGTCAAGAAACCCTAGTCAAAGTCATTGGAGCATGTACACACACACACACACACACACACACACACACACACAGAGAGAGAGAGAGAGAGAGAGAGAGAGAGAGAGAGAGAGAGAGAGAACAAAACAAGTAACCCATGAAATCAGAAGGAAGACTGGCAGAGAAGAGGAAGGAAGTCAGTGGGAGTCGAAGGTGATGGATAAGAGAAGGTAGAGGGTAAATATGCTCCAACACATAAAACACGCCTATGACAATGTCATAGTTAACACCTGTTACCGTGTGTGACTCATATGTGACACAAAAACATTAGCTATCATGTTGTAAGGAGCCGCTTGTTGGCTCCCGGCTGCTCAGCCCTGAAATAATCAAACAGAGACCATATTATTTAAAACAGTGCTTGGCCCATTAGCTCTAGCTTCTTATTGGCTAACTCTTACATATTAATTTAATGTATCTCCATTAATCTCTGTATTGCCATATGGCAGTGGCTTACCAGGTAAAGTTCCAGCGTCTGTCTCTGGCAGGGCTACATGGCTTCTCCTCACTCTGCCTCCTCTCTCCTATCATTCAGTTTAGTTTTCCCCTCCTACCTCTGTTCTGCCCTGCTATAGGTCCAAAGCAGTTCTTTATTAACCAATGGTATTCACAGCATACAGAGGGGGATCCCACATCACTATCATGCCCAGGGAGTCTTCCACTTGGCTAAAGGCTCTGGAACATGGTTCATGCCCCTCAGACTGGAGTCATGCCTCTTCTCTCAACAAGGAGTGGAGAAGAAGGTCACTGCTCCCTGCTCTCCGAGGGCTGGGTTTTCCTCCTCCTTAGTGGCCTGTCTTGGAGCAGGGGCTTTCCTGTGGAACTTGGTCCCCTTTTCCAATTTGAAATATCTAGGACTGGGATATGGCCTGATCAGTCTTGGAATCCTGGGGCATCAGTCTCTCACTTTAGAATGAGATTGCCCAGGGTTAGAGGTGTGCCCTTCTGAGTCTAAGAGATGAGCTGGTCTCCTCCTGTCTGGAGTTTGCCTTGAGGTTTGAAGATAGGCAGGTCATAGACAGATGGAACTCCAGAAAGGGGCTCCATTGCTCCAGAGTTTATCACAGGTTGGCCCTGCTTTCACCTCTTAAGCATTATTATTATTACTTTTCTTTTAAGAAGATCTATCTTATTTTCAAAATGTGTGTAGTTGTGCGGGTGTGTATCTGTGTCCATGTCCGTGTGTCCGTGTGTCCGTGTGTGTGTATGTGTGAGTGCTTACAGAGTCAAGGTGTCTTGTCCTCTGGACATGGAGTTATAGGCTGTTGTAAGCTCCCGATGTGCATGCTGGGAAAGGAAACTCCAGGGGAGCAGTATCTGCTCTAAACCACTGAGCCATCTGTCTGGAACTTTGTATGGAGCTGACCAAAAGCTAAGCAGTATACTACATGAAGAGGGGAGGTTGTGGGCAAAAACATCCACCACAGTCTTTCCACTTCCTCTTCTGCTAGTCTCCAATCAGTCTGTACGGACATTCCATTCAGGGCTGAGCATTTCACAGTCACTTTGACCAGTTATTAGGAGCTCCAACAATTTTTTAAAAATATATACTTCCCAATATTAATATTTTTCAAAGCCACAGACAACCATGATATGGCTCTCTAGGCTGTTAGTTCAAAGAGGACTAACCTCTTTGGAAATAAGTCTGGCTCCTTCTTATTTCAGAGAATCATAATTTTTAGGACATATTTGGTTGGAACTTTCTGAGTCTTAAAGAGAGCAGAAATGAACTGAAGGAGCAAGCGTGCAGATGGAGCCTGACATTGTGACACAGGCCTTTAATCCCAGCCCTTGGGAGGCGGAGGCAGGTGAATCTCTGGGTTTGAGGCCAGCCTGGTATACTGAGTAAGTTCTAGAACAGCCAGTACTACACAGAGAAACCCTGTCTCAGAAAGCTAAAACAAACAACAAACAAAATAAAACAATGACTATCCCCTTTCTAGAATCCTTTCATAATCCTAAACAGAAATTATATTCCTTAAATACCAAGTAAAAAGAAAAAAAAAAAACCCCAGCTCCTCATTCTGCCTTCTCTGATCCTATGAAAACCTCTTTTTCTTATGCAGATTTATCTACTTTGGGCTGACCAGTGTTCCTTTCTGTGAGCTTACCACATGTATGAATCCTTTCTCATGGCTGTAACCAGATGCCTCACAGGGATCAACTTTGGGAGGGAGACTGTACAGGGATTACAGTGTGAGGAGATACACTCTCTTGTGGTAGGGAGGGTGTGGAGGAGCAGGAGTGATGTGGCCACATCATAGTAAATCTGTGTTTATCCCTTGGGGGACCACTGAATCATTCTTCATAGAGGCTGAAACAGATTGTATTTCCACCAGCAACATATGAAGGTTATACTTTTTCCACATGCTCCCCAATGCTTATCATGTTCCATTTAAAAAATTAGTGACATCCTACTTATCAACTTGACAGAAACTAGACTCACTTGGAAATGAGGAACCTCAATTGAGAAATTGTCTCCCTTAGACTGGGCAGTGGGCAGTATATGGACATTTTCTTGATTAATGATTGGTGTGGGAGGGTCCAGCCCACTGTGGGCAATGCCACTCCCAGTCAGGTGGTCCTGAGTTGTGTAAGAAAGAACCAAGCCAGGAAGCGGTGTTCCTCCATGGTCTCTGCTTTAGTTCCTGCCTCCAGATTCCTGTACCTTGAGTTCCTGCCTTGACTTCCCTTCATGATGGACTCAACTATACGTTACAAATTGTGCCATGGATATCTATTACATTTATTGATTTATTGAGACAAGATCTCACTATGTAGCTTTGGTTGGGCTTAAATGCATAAAGATCCTCCTACTTCAGCCTTGTAAGTGCTAAGATTAAAAACATATGTCACCACATCTAGCTAAATTTGATTTTGTGGGAACAGGGTTTTGCTATGGTGCCCATGCTTATGGTGAACTCCTGGGCACAAGTGACCCTCCTATCAGTGTCCTGTGTGACTGGGCTCACGTGTTTTCTACCCATCTCACCTTATTGTGGTTCTCACTTATGTTTCCCTAGTGACTTATGGTATTGTACGTCTTGTCTCATATTCATTGGTTCATATATTTTTTAAAAGATTTATTTATTTTTATGTGTATGGATGTTTGACAGTATGTATATGTCTGTGTTTCATATGCATGCCTGGTGCCTGTTGAGGTCAGAAGAGGACATCAGATCTCTTGGAAGTACAGCTATAGACAGCTGTGAGTGACCATTTGGTTGCTGGGAATTGAACCAGGAGCCTCTGGAAGGGCAATCAGGGTTCTTTAATCACTGAGCCATCTCTCCAGCCCCAGTTGTTTATATTTTTAAGAGAACCGTTGACTCAAGTCCCTTGTCCACTTTTGAACTGGGGTGTTTTTGAATTATAGAAGGTCTTTGCATGTCCCTGACATGATGTCCATTTTATAATTATCTTCCATCCTATGAGTTGTAAGTCCCTTTTCCTCTTTTGTGTTTGTGTGCACATGTACGTGGGGGTGTGCACGTCCAATTCACGCATGTGCATTCAGAGGCCAGAGAAGTGTGTCAGGGATCCTGCTCTGTCACTGTGTGCCTTATTCCTCTCAGACAGGATTGCGTACTGGACCTGGGAGCTGGCTGTTTGGTTAGGCTAGCCAGTAAGCTCCCAGGATCTACCTGTCTCTGCCCCGTAGCTTTGGGCTTTTAGGCAGGTATGGCCATGTGCCCCTGTTATGCGTGAGTCCTTGGGGTTCAAACTTAGGTCCTTAGGCTTACACAGTGATCGCTTTTGGCCACAGAATCATCTGGCCAGGTCCCTGTTTTCACTCTCCAGTCAACCCACATACATCTGGGGTTGTGATTCTCCCCTCACCATGAAAAGTCACAGCTTCTACTTTTTAAGGATAGGACATAGGGGCTACATGTCTACCGCAGGCTGGTTCCTTCCTCTCTGTCCCATTTAAGTATTCAAAGACTGAAGTCCTAGCAGAAGAGAGGAAGAGAAAGCAGGAAAGAGGAGCCCACATTAACTATGAGGAAGCAGAATGAGGCCTACAGACCACATGAATGAACTTTGAGAGAACTGTGTTAAGTGAAAAGAGCCAGTCTCAGACCATACATCATGGGGTTTGTGCGAAATGACGACAGTAGACAAATCTACTTGTCAAAGCTAGATTAGCATCTGGTGGGCAAGGGGGACAGGTTAGGAGGATAGCCATGAATCTTAATGGGTATAGGTATGGGGGTTACGATAGACAACATTCTAAAATTGTTTTGAAGTGAATTAAATAGTGAAAGAATTGTACTCCAAAAAAGCTGTTATTTAAAAAGAAGGGGAAAGAAACAAAGTTGGTGGTCCGTGGATGCCTCTTCCCCGCCTCGGCCATCTTCACTTGGAAAAGCGTGGCCACACCTGAAGGTGTTTGCAGACCGGAGGCTTCATGGTCAGCCCATAGGTTGGTGTCAGGTCCACCTTGAGGCCTGGTGGCACACTGAACTCCAACTGATGCAGCAGGATGGCTAAGAAGAGGAAGACTTCCCACTTGGCTTGGGTCTCTCCAATGCACCGACGCTTTCCCAGGCCAAAAATCATGACCTTTTCACTCAGAATCTTGTTGATGGCTGTGCTGTCCTCAGTAAGAAACCGCTCTGGACGGAACTCAAAGGGGTCTTCCCACTGCTTTCTGCAAGAGGAACATACAGGACCTGAGTGGGTGGGCTCTGGAAGGAAAGGGTAGCTATGTCCTCCCAGCTTCTGTGAGAACGCGGGTGTTAGAAAAGATTGACGGTAACAAGAGCCTGGAAGGTACCAGACTCGGTGTTTATCTCCTTTTGTGATGGTTCTTTTGTGTTTGTTTGCTTTTAGACTTGTGTTTGTTTGCTTCCGTGGGTTTGAAGTTGGCCTTGAACTCTATAGATAAGCCCAGGTCACCTTGTGTGAGATTCTGTCCCTTCTGCATCTACCTCCCAAGTGCTGGGATGAAGGCCTAGGCTTCCACACCTGGTGCTGGGGATGGACCCAGGCCTTGGTCACGGTAGACGGTACTCTACCTACAGAGCTGCACCTCCAACCATGGTAGTGCTTCTGAAAATAACATTCTCTCTAAAACGACACACCATAAGGAGAATGGACTTTGGTTATTTTTAATTTTTAAATTATAATTTTGTTTACTTAGTTTGTGTGCATGTGGAGGTCAGAGGACAACATGCAGGAGTCAGCTCTCCCCTTCTACCGTGTGAGGTCTTGGGATTGATCTCAGGATGTTAAATGTGGCAGCGCATGCCTTTACCTGCTGAACCGTTCCCATTATGCAAAATGGCGGTTTGTTTTGTTTTGTTGGTTTTTCAAGACAGGGTCTGTCCTGGAACTCTCTATAGAACCAGGCTGTCTGTTTCTGCCTCCCAAGTGATGGGATTAAGGTACATTGGAACACAATCAAATGGCTGATAGTGGTTTTATTAGTTCTTTTTTTTTTGTGGTTTTGGGAAATGATTCTAGGACCTTCCATATCACATACACTATCAGTGAACTATAGGTCCTGCTCTGATTTACTTGAAGGAAATAATGCTTTATCAAAAGGAAATTGAAAGAAGGAAAACATGTTTTTCTCTCTCCTAGTCCCTGTATGCCTGTGGCAAGGGGGAATCACTAGCTTGCTTGGCTTATGCTTCCTTATTGGACTAAAAATTGACAATACAAATATGAATGGGTTCTTATGTCACTATGTCCTGGTTTGGATGGATCATCTATCTACAAACTAGAGAGGAATTTTCCAAGGAGGTCAGTAGACCGTTCCCATAATTCATATGATGTATCTCATTATCCATCCAACTGGGACCTTGGGACACAGGGAGACTTCCTAATCAATCTCTCCTTCCTT